CCCCAAAACCCCAAAACCCCTTAAGATCGATTCTTTTAAGTAAAATTGAGTATTAATCAAATAAATATTAATAGTGTGAACAGAACTTCAACTTTAAATTTAGTATTTAAACAAGGATTTAGATTTAAATAAGAATTAATAAGATGATAATGGAATAAAAAACATAACTGCCCAATGATCAAATCGTAAGAATTGAAACTCAAATAATGTCTTAGAACATCTAATAATCTAAAGTGTACTCATCAATGTACGAATATATGAAGGAGATTGACTTGAGCCACCATAAAATATAGAGTTAATTCAATTTGTTTGAAGAATTAGGAGGTGATTTTTCAATATTGATATATAATGAGATAGAGTAAAGCAAGTATATTCTGTTTGAATCAAAGAGTTATATTGAAAGAAAAAACATCTATCTGGTCTGGGATATATAATCAAATAAGCTAGTCAAAGAATTAAAATTTTATAACAAAATTAAAAATAGAGAGTTTAAACGGATTAATGGCAGCAACTATTTCTATTTCCTTGAAGATTCTGGAGTTTACTTTTAGAATATTAACAAAATCTTATCTGATGACTATGATTATGAATAAAACTTGACATTGGTAAAAATACAAGAGGGATATTAAGATTTCAAAATATTGGGAGATGATTTATTATTTATACAGTTTAAGAATGACTTTTACTTTTTCATTAAAATAGATGTGAACAAGATAAATTTCGCTGAATTAAGTTCTAATTTATAGAATATAAGTGAATGGACTTAATGTAGTAGTGGGATTTAGACTGTAGGTTAAGATTTGAAAATCAAGTATATTGAATAGTTTTAGATCTACTTACTTCACTTAGAACTTGCTGATAGAAATGCTTATGGCAAATTAAATAGCTTAGTTATTTTAAATTCAAAGAGCAATCACACTTTAATAATAATGTGGGATTCATCGAGAAAGAAATATTTAATTATAGATAAATATGATTTTAGTTTCAAAGAGGAAATAGACTAAGAAGAATTAAGGTTTGTTAGAGATCTTGACTTACTTTATGCAATTGATTAAAATAACTATTTAAAGTCAATTGATCCTTGTACTGGAAAAATTTCAAAGGAAAATAAATTGAACATCGAATAAGGCTTTAAAATATATTAAGCTTCTTTACTAGCTACCTACCTTATTCTCTAATTATAAGATGAAGATCAAACTCCTTGTAAAATAATTTTATATGATGTCTAATTAAATCAATATATTTTCAGCTATAATATAAGTTTTGAAAGCTAATTAGGCTAATTGATTTTAGATTTAGATAATTACTCTTTTTGCTAAGTCTTTAAAGATGGAAGAATAAAAAAATATGAAATATACTCAACTAAACCTCATCTCTATTTAACAAAGAGAATTACAAGTTAAAAATTAGATTAATTTCGAGATGAATCACTCAGTATGATGAATAAAGATTAACAAATAGAAAAATTCTTTACTTAGAATGAACGAGTCGAAGATTGGGAAGATTTAAAAATGCAGTATTGCTAATAGTTTATATTCAGAAGTAATGATTGCTATAGAAAGAGGTCAGTTTATAATTTTCAAAAAATTTAGTATATTTAGAATTTATCAACAAATCATAGGTTTGTAGAAATTATTGATGAAATATGGGTACTTTTAAATGACATGAAAATAATAGATATAAAGGAAATTTTTCCAAAATGTAATTATGATTGTACTTTTATTATCTATGAAAGAAAAAATGAAGGAATTCAGATTGCATGGTAGGATGATGGAAAAATAATAGTATTTGATATTAGAAATAAATTGAAAAATACAATCGAATTCCCTTAAAAGATAGAAAGATTAATAAGGTCAGGAATTATAGATGATGATCATGGAATAATGATTTTTAAATTTAAGAATTCAATGGAAACATTTGATTATTAAACTAAAAATAAAATTGATAAGTTATGCATTTACGATTAATACCTTCACTTTATTGATATTTAAGATGATTTCATCCAATACTACTATGATAATTATAATGAGGAAAGTGGTTAATATATGACCTAATATACTTAAAAAGTGATTATTATGAAAGAAAAAAAAATAAGATAAGTAATTGAAATTAAATCCAAATATCTATTTAATATGCCTTTAAGTTCAAAAATATTATTAACAAAATAATAAAATCATTTTTAGCTTGGGGAACTTCAGGATTTTTACGTGGTTTATAAAAATGCATAAAAAGAAAGGAGATAATTTAATCTATATCAACCAGTTGTTATGGCTACATATTTTAAAGATGCTAATTTTGTCTTTATTGATTCAGGATTTATCAAATTCTTTTTCAAAAATGTAAAACACTCTGTTGGCCAATTTTAATTAAATTTCCAAAGTTAAGAAATTAATGAATTTATAAACTTAAGTCAACTTGATGCTTTGTAAGCTATAGAAGAGTTAAAGGTTAATTTTAACTACTTTTTAAATTTTATTCCAGGATTCGGCAATTGCATCAATATATTTCAAAATAATATTGTTATCTTAGAATTTATATTTAAATAACTTTTACTAGTCGACACAGCAGATCTTCCTATATTAATTTCTAAGAGACTATATTTATAAGAATCGCCTCTTGATTATAATTTGCAAAGTGGATAATAAAAAATAGTTAACCTCCTTTTGAGTAGTGTGCTCAGATACCAAAACCATTTGATGTATAATGAGTTAATTGATATAAATATTTGTAATCTAATAGATTAGAATTTTGATCTTTCCGATTATTTTCAAAGTAACCTGCCTATTTATCAAATATTTGATTCTAAGTTTCCTTCAAGTGATGAAGATGATCGGGAATTGATTGAAGGAGTTAATTTAAGTAATGTAAATGAAATTCATGATCAATCTAATATCTTTAAAAACTCTGCAATAGTATAAAAAAAGTAAAATAACAATTTGAAGTTATCGATTGAATACTTTTTGATTAATTTACCAGTAACTCTTGCTGAGAATAAATTAGAACTGATGAATGTCCTCAGTAAGTCTAACAATTAAGAATATTTTGAAAACATGGTTATACAAACGATCATTAAATTTAAGTGGGATCATTACACCAGGCAATTTTACTAATTCTAATTTTTAGTCTACTTAATTTTTATGATTTCTTTGGTGTTCGAGACTTACCATCAGACTTTCTAAGGACAAATTAATTACAAAGAAGATGATGATCAAAGAAAAGTATACTTAGTAATAATCAACAAATTAATTAGTTCTGGCTGTCTTTGTTTCTTTCTTATCAATGAGATTAGATAATTATTGATTTTAAAGTAGACTTACATTTACAATATTTGGAATGCTATTGATATACTCTTAATTTTATCTTACATAGTCATGAATATTATTGAATATTTATCAAATAGCAATGACACTGTGGTTTTACTGTTTATAATTGTTATTACACTATCTTTCTTGAAGCTTTACTATTTCCTACGAATTTTTGAAGGATTTAGCTTTTTAGTCTAAATGATTGCAAAAGTTTTCTAAGATTTAAAGTTTTTTATAGCCTTTTTCTTGATATTCATTGTTTAGTTTGGATTAATATTTACTGTATTATTTAAGGCTGCTCCAATTGATGAATATGAAGGAGTAGATGCATTTGCTTATTATCTCATGATATTTAGAATTGCTGCTGGGGACTTTTCAACAGATAATTATAAGGATTAATCACAATATTTAGTCATCCTTACTTGGATAGTCTGGATTGTAGCAGTGATATCTCTAAACGTTGTATTCATGAATTTCATCATCGCAGTAATTTCAGAGTCATACGAAAAAGTTATGCAGAAAATTGTTGCTGAATCTTATAAAGTTAAGGTCCAGATGATTAAAGAAAGAGAGCTATTTTTTAGTAAGTAATAACTGAATTCAGAAAAGTACTTTCCTTAATATCTAGTTTTAAGAAGACAAGTTAGTTAGGACAGCTAAGAAAATGGTAAATAATTATTTCATTGATTAATCATTATTACAGGAGAATGGCAAGGATTTATAAAGGACATTAAACAAACAGTAAGAACTTCTACTACTAAATCAAAAATTGAATTAATGCAGAATTTAGTTCTATTGTAAAACTCTATAAATGAAAATAGAAACTATTAAGAAAAAAAGAATGAAGAGATAAAGGAGAGAATTGAGGGTCTGGAGAAATTTATGAGAGAAAGCATGAATAAATTGCTTGAAAATTCAGGATAAAAATAACAAGAAAATTAATGATCTTAAAAATTATGACTTAGAATATATATTTTAACACTATTAAATTAAAGCAAAATTGTTATTTCATGGGGTTTTGGGGTTTTGGGGTTTTGGGG